TCCTCGGCAGGTGAAATTGAGGTTTTTACAGAAAGCTTTGTCAGTGACGTCGTAGACAATGGTTCCGATGACTACGGAGAAAAACACTGACCCCAACAAGAGCCAGGGTACCATCCTGTCAATTTTTTTTTTCAGGTAGATAAAGAAGCTGTTCCTGAAATTGGCAATTTTTATACAATAAAAGACACAAAGACAGGTTGGAACAATTAAGAAAGCTCTGAGCACTCTTAAGTAGTTGAAATATGGGGTTAACATGATGGTAGTGGGGATAAATGATTGAAAGAAAAGAATATACCCATGAAATGCACAAAAACCAAATCAGCAGAATATTCATCCTTTGTTTTGGATTTGAGGTGAAATATTGCCACAAAGGGTGAAGAGAAGGCTGTGGTACTTAATGCCTTCTTTGCCTCAATCTGTAAAAGTCAGAGCAGTTGTCCTCAGGGTACTGAATCATCTAAGCTGGAAATCAGAGACAAGGAATGGAATGAAGCCCCCCCCCGTTAACCAGGAAGTATCTAGTGACCTGATGTGCCACCTAAACACTCTCAAGTCTATGGTGCCAGATAGGATCCACCCAAGGGTGCTGAGGAAGCTGGTGGAAGAGGTCACCAAGTCATTCCCCATCATTTATCCCAGGTCCTGGCTAACCAGGGAGGTTTCAAAAGCCCAGAGCTTGGCAAAGGTGACAGCCATCTAGAGAAGAGCCAGATAGGGGATCATAAGTACCTGGCAGTGCTGGGTTAATGGTTGGTATTGACAATATTAGAGGTCTTTTCCAATCTCACTGATTCTATGGTTCCAGTCTGTGATTCTAAGTTTGCTTTGCTTTTGCTGACAGAAAAGAAAAGAAAAAATGGTGTAAGGTGGGAGTTGAGTTTTTTGGGTTTTCATTGTTTGTTTGGTGGGGTTTTCTTGTTTGTTTGTTTGGGGGTTTTAAAATTTGTTTTTTCATCTCTGCATATGTATGTGAGGACAAGGGAAGCTAATTCTACTACAACAGTTCTGAAAATGAACTGTTTGTACGGGAACTGTGCTTGTACAGGGATGTGAAATGAAAATGTAACACCAGCAGGACAGTACTGTGGCCAGGGTTTGGGCTCAGCTCTGTGTGGGGAATGTGGTACCTTATAAAAAACCTACTGGGAAAAAACCAGACTCTCAAATGCTGCGTTTTCAAAGCCTGGATAGACTGTCTGCCAAAACAGGTGCTTGAAATAGAGGTGTCTGCTTTTAATTCAAATCCATCCCCTCCAGCACCACTCAAGAAGGGCAAGGAGTATCCCAGGCTTTGTATCTACCAGCCCATGCGCATATTTTGGATGCCCTCGTGCATCTCAAAGAGCACCAGGCTGCTGTGTTTGTGTACTGGATGGACACACAGATGTCCTGGCATCTGAGAGACATTACACACCAATTGAATTGCTTCCATCTGAGTTTGGCTCAGGCTGAACATCTTCCCAATGCACAATCCTTGTCTTTCTCCTTCATGATGGGAAATCCCAGATGAGCAGCCTTGGTTCGCTAAGTACTTAGGCTCTTGCTTGCCCAATTTCTTCTGGGCAAACCCAATCCATTTATAACTGAACCTCAAAGTTCAGAAGGTCACAATTGTTTCAGGATACAATCCTGGGAAAGAGAATAAAAATGTCCTCTGGGCAGATGTTTTGAACTTTTTATGGAAAGAGAGATTGTGTTTGGAAAAGGCAATATTACAGTGGTTGAGAGGTTGCTCTGGACTAAATGGTTCTTTCTCTCATTTCATGAAGAGAGAGGAAGGTTTTGGACAGTAGTATTTCCCCACCTCCCACCAGAGCCTTTCACTGCTGGGACTGAAGCCCCTTTGCAGGGGGCAGCTCCTGTGAACCCATGGCTGCCCCACTTGAGCCCCTACACAGACCACACCCACAGAGACACACCCCCAGAGTCCTTACCAGCTCCACACTGGGTTTTCCATAGCACAGTCTCAGACATCTGGATTTTTAAAACAATTTAATCGTGGCACAGAAGCAGCACGAGCTGAGGGTCACGGAGAAGGAACCCCCAACAACCAAATCCCTGGATTTTGCACCCTTCCAGTCTATGCACATGATAGCCTGGGGTCTTGGCTCCATGCCTGGGGCTCCTGCTATTTCCTGCCACCCAGAGCACAACCTGCAGCTCTCACTGTAGCTGCACACTGAGCTGTCTGCACTGAATGTATTCCTCAACTATTTCATGTTTAGCTGACCTGCTACAGTAGGGTGACCTTGGGCACACACTCAGTTGCTCTGAATTGTCACAAAGATGCAGTGGCAAATAAGATAGAAAACCTCATGAGTTGAGATAAATACAGAGACATCACTCACCAGTTACTGTCCCAGACACAACAGACTCAAGGAGTGAAAAATGAATTGAATTTATTGCCATTTGAAAATAGAGTAGGGTGATGAAGAATAAAAACTAAACTAGAACCCCTTGCTCCACCCCCATTCATCCCAGGCTCAACTTCACTCCTTCATTCCCAGAGTCTTTACCTCCTCCCCTACAGCAACGCAGGGGAACAGAAAATGGGGTTTGCAGTCACATCATAATGAGCTGTCTCTCCTCCTTCTTCCTCACATTCTTCTGTTCCAGGGTGGGTCTGTCCCATGGGCTGCAGTCCTTCTGCCTGCACCCGACTATGCCATGGGGTCATCCTGTGGGCTAAAGGGGGATCTCAGCTCCCCCATGGACTTCCATGCATTGCAGAGGCACAGCTGCCTCACCGTGATCCCCTCCAGGGGCTGCAGGGGAATGTCTGCTCTGGCACCTGGAGCAACCCCTCCCTTTCCTTCACTGTCCCTGTTGCTGCCGGACTGTTTCTCACAATTGCCAGGCCAGGTTTTTGCACTTTTTAATCGATCCTTTCACAGAGGAGCCACGATCATCACTAATGAACTGAGCTGTTGAAGGAAGAAGGGTTAACTGAAGCATCTTGCTACAGGGGCCCACTGTTCTCCCCCCCCCCATTTCTCTACCTTGCTCAAAGGAGATCTTGTTCTGTACCAATTCTGTAAACATAAGCCACAGGTACATTGTACAAAGAGCCCAGAGGTAATAAATCTTAGCCAAAGGAGCCAAAGTGACATCTCAATA